ACAGGAAGCATCCTGGAGCTCTGATCCTGGAAATAAAACAACAGGAACACTTTAGGAGAATGATGATACAGAAACACACTTCACACTAATGTTCTGTATTTTTAAACAGCTTCATTAACACTGTTTTACTGCATTAGGTTGTTCCTTCATAACTTTCCCTACTTTCATGAGAAGTGCATGATTTTGATCTGATGACTGACATTAGGCTACTTCTGCTTGGTGTTTCAGAGACTTCAGCTGTAAAACACACTTAAATTCAATGAATTTGTATCTGCTATATATCTGTGATAGGTAATAACAAAACGTCCTCTGAAGCACTACCCCTCCAAAATCCAAAATATAGGATTCACTTGTGTGATAGAAATCAGTCTTGACCCAGGTCAGGTCTGACCCCGAACAAGTAATATAAGTCATTAAATAGGATAACATACTATAACCGTCTTTGCCTGTGAATGCTGTTTTTACAAACAAATAAATATATATTTGTCCATGCATGGGCCATATAAGACATAAAACATGAAAAATGTCCTTTTTGGTTTAATAACAATTCTTCATGTTGATTTCTGTGTTGTGTCCCCATCACATGTGCCAGTCCAGTTTGTGGAAAAGGGATGGGTTAAACATATTGGGTTTTAAAGAGGTCAGAAAAATCGGAAAACTTGCAATTGTCTAACTATTTTCATACAGGGTGTGTAAAAGAGTAAAAATTGTAAAAAGTAAAGTCAATTACAACAAAACACAACAGTTGAATGCTATGGAACCCTTTTCATTGTTCTTCAGCTGAATGTGCAGAGGAACAGCTGGCAGAGAGGAGCTTTCACTGTATGAACTGTAGATATTAATATTCCTAACCCCTCTGACTGTAAGGGGACAGCAGACCGCTCAGTGGCGCTCTCTGCTGCTCGTTCGGGTATATTTCACGTCCACGCGGGCGGATCAATGAATGTGTGTTCAGGGTTTGATTGTGAATCTGATTAATCTGTTAATGTGTTAATCTGAGTCCGGATTCTGAGTTACTTTATAACACACATACAACCATATGACACCCAGCATGCCCCCTGAGCCCTTCACTGTTCACTGAATGCGTCTGAAGGTTTAGTTTCACTTTCATCTGAAGCTAAAAGAGAGACAATGAGAATAAAAACGTTCGTAGATCCACTGAAACGGACTTTATTTAAAGAGTTAGAGTGAATAAAAGCGGTTGTTCACATCAGTGGGGGCTCAGTCTGACGCTTTCAATAACAATAATAACATTTGTTTATAGGTTTCATACAGGATCAGCTGATCCTGATGTCCACTGGTTTGAAAACAGCCTCTAAATAAGCTGCAGGCTCTTACAGACGGGGTCGGGATGCTGATATTAAAATCCATTTGAGTCTACATCACCTGTCTAACCTCGCTCTCGTTGTGAAGTGCGTCCAGGTGGGGCCCGTCCCTCCCCAGGTGCACTGACTGTTTCTGACACAGAGGAGTCCACACGAAGGCTGAGCTTTAGTTTTTACATCAAACAGTAATATTACATAAATGATATGAAGCCAGAAACACACACACGGTACACACAAACAAATCTAAAAGCCTCCATACCTGTTGTCCCGTATTCCTGTCGGGCCTGTGCGGTCAAAGTCCGCAAACGGGCGGGAGGGGGGAGGAGCTCCTGTTTCCCGTCATCTGGAATATCACATTAATGTAAAAATATTAAAAAAAAAATCTAATTTCAGGCTGTTAAATGTAAACCATTTTTATATATTATATATTTAGTTATATACTATATATTCCCATGTCTTCTTTATTATTTTGCTGTTGTTAATTATTATATTTCTCCTGGTAAAAGTATTCCTGACATGCTGGTTTGGATTATATCCAGCAGGGGGCAGGGTTGGCCTTTCATAAATGTTTTAGTGTGTGTATAATGAGGCTGAGATAAATAAGGGCAGAAAAAGAGGAAGAGGAAGAGGCAACAACAAGAGCTGACCTGTTTCACCTCCAGATACACTTTAAAACGGTTTAAACCCAAAACAACGTGAAGCTTCATTAAGCCTGTTCATTTTCCACTCAACGGCCTTCAGTCAATCTGTGGTCACATTCATAACATGAATATATCCAAGAGGTTCCAGCAGTCCTAACTTAAAAAGTACTTAAAGCTGAAGCCATGTGGATCTGTATTTTGTCCTCTTTGACTGGAAAATTAGAGCGATGATACTTTTGTTTTTCATGAACCCATTTTTTCTTTTTTAAGTTTTATGTTTAAACTCTTTCTTTACTGGATAATTGACCTTTTTGTTTGTATGAGTATATTAAAATGTCTAAAAACATGTTTGGAGGGATCTTTAAATAGTAACTTGACACTAAGTATTATATGATTGAATAAATTACATGTGCAGTCACTTTACTGTCAGTCAAATTCAAACATTATATCAAGGTAATAAGCCTTTGAGATAATCTTGTTTTCCAGAATAAATCCAGTAATTCTGTCTCTTTGAAACCCCTAAATATCTGTGAAAAATTATTGACGACCCCCAAAAACTAAAAGGCAGCGCCACATCCCACCCCCAACCCAAAAAGACTTCTATATTTAAAGAGCACAAAGCAGAAGAATGGGGTCTCCTCTTTGTCCAGCAGGTGGCACTGTAATATTATGATTCACAGTATAGAAGCATCAAGGTTCAAGGTTACTGTATTTGTACCCAGAGGTAGACTTGGTTTACAGTAAAAGACGAAGCATTCCTCTGGACAGAAAATATAAAAACAACAAACAACTCAAGAGACAAAAAGGATAAAAGATAAAGTGAAAGTGCTCCAAGCTCTAAACATGCAGGACGTCCAAAAAGAGATCAATGAACAACCACTAGAATGAAGCCTAACCTGACGTCTGACATTATTCAGGGCCTGTGGTTTCAGGGCTTTCACATGAAATGTCTGTTCACATTGTTGTAGAAACTGCTGGACACTCTAATCTGATTGTGATAAAGCAGTGAGCTGTAGCAGGACAGCGGGACGGAACTTCTCTCAGTTCTCTTTCACACTGCAGAAACGGACGTTGAGCTCAGGTTTTGGTCTCTTTCGGGTACAACGGTACCGAGCCTCGCTGTGAACTTCACTGCCCCCACGAACATTTTGAAGAAGTAGCAACTTCAAAAAAGAGAAGTTGAGGATTGCATCAGTTATCATTTTATTTCTGCCACATCATTTGTACTGTTAGTTCTGAGAAGAAGAAAAAAAAGCCAATTCATGTCAGGAGGTCTGTCTCTGTCTCTGTCTCTGTCTCTGCAGTTCATCCTGGACAACCAGCAGGCAGATCACGCAGCGACATCTTGATGTTTAGGATGTTTTGGTCTCCACATTTGTTCTTATTCATTCTTGTTTTATTACTACAGTGCTCATGTTCCTCACTGTCATTTGTGCACTGTCCCTATCCAAAAATAAAGCATTTATTATTATTATTATTTAATCTGCTTTGGTTTTTATTTTTTTCCTTTGCACAGCACTGTTTTAACATTGTTAAGAAAAGTGCTATAGAAATAATTATTATATAAGTCGGCACCTTTCCTCTGCCATCAGTGTATGATTGGGTCAGTGTGACATGTAATATAAAGCTCAGTCAACAAATGACGCACACACACCATAAGACTCAACAATGCTAACATGGAACCATAACTAAAACCTGTGCATCTTAATGAGGAAAACAAGGAGCATGCAAATATCTTCTGCAAATAAATAGAACCGTAGTGTTTTATTAAAGCGTCTTTTACTTTACGTGGTCAAAATCCTGGTGACAAACTTCAATGCCACCGCTGCTCAATAATGGACAGTTCTCTCTAATAAAGCAGATCTACATGCGAGCAATATAAAATGACTCTTAAATGGTTTCACTGTAGAATAATGATGGCGACGTTTTTAGAAACTATCACTGGACAATGATTTATTTTGATAGTTTAGTCCTTTACACTTAAACCAAGAGTTATTCATTGGAGCTAGCCTCGTTCTATTTGTGCTTGAGTCAGATGAGGTGAAGTGGATTCAGATCAGATGATGAGAATTATTGCTGTTATCATGCTGTCTCCGCTGCTGTGTCACTGTCTGAAGAAGGTTTTACATATTGCAAAATCATTTGACAAAAAAAAAGAAGATCTGCAGCAGTTCACATGCAGGGAGCACACTGATTAACAAACACACTTTTTATTGTGCAAACAGACTAATGTTTCTAGTCAAAACAGACAAACCGCACTATATGGTCAACTTAGAGCAATCAGTCAGTAAATAACTGGTTGCACACGGTTTTAAATTTCGACCTTTTCACAGCAGCCAATTTTACACGAAACAAGGTAAACACAATGTTGATTAATGTGCATGGTCCCTGGTAAATAAATAAATCCAACATGCCTGTCTCCACCTCCAGGAGAGAGGGAGTCATTTTCATTTTCTACTTGCCAGATGTGTAAAGTTGCTGCAGAGCGGTCATCAGCCTGTGCGTCATCCCTGTTTTGTGTATCTAATACTTGTTTTCCCACTCACATTGTGGTAAAAAAAACAGCTGACCGTTCCCCAATCCCCGCTCCCCATCCATAGGCCCGTCGAGCTTTCCGTTCTCCATGTCTCATGTGCACTTTACAAGGATAAATGAATCTGTGGATGCAAATGATTTGCATGTGAATGACAGGAAACAGTGGGAGCTCCTTTGCTCTCTATGTGTATCTGCACCTGAATGATTCCCTACAGCTGCTGCATGCTTTTCAATGACACTGTTAAATATATCAAATACTTTAAACCTTTTATCATATCACTTGCATGTCAGTAGACACAGAAGAAGAAATGGCACTGGTATGTATTTGACCTCTGCATATATTTTTACCGATCGTGGCTGATAATGATGCGCTCTTGTGTATGGGAAGAGCTTAGTTCCCTGTTTTTTGAGAGATGACGAGACGATTAGCTGTATATAAGAAGTGGTTTTCCTCTTCTTCGATGCCTCCTCCCAGTTCAGCTGAAGCGACACACACTAAGACGGAAGAGGAGAAGTTCATTCTGCAGCAGGTTTGCTACAAACTCTCTGATCACCCTCTGACCTTTCTCAGCACGTTCCCTGTCAGTAACACGCCTGTCTCTCTGTATTCAAGCTAATCATCATCTTTAGCATCTGCATCAGCTCCACCATGAAGATGCTGACTGTGTCTGCACTTCTTTGTGGCATGATGGCCCTGACTAGAGCGGCTGGTGAGTATCATGCATGGAAAGTGTTACATATTGATGTATTGCACAGTAACAGGTCAATAACTGCACTGTTAAACTTTCCAGCTCTTCCAGAGGCATCTCCGGAAAATGATCAAACAGGTCAGTTATGAAGTTCCTGATTACAGCTGCTTCGTGTTAAATGCTAATGTAACTTCTTTTATTTTATTATATTATAGTGTTTAAATAAATTACTTTAGTGTATAATAATTATATAACATATATAATAATATAATAGTAATATAATAATTCTACATATATAGACTAACTTTAGACAATTATATTTTCTTGTGTTATTTTTAATAATTCTGTGTTATGGTGAATCATGCTATGAATTGTATTTTATGCTTACATGTTGAAATGTTGTTATATTAAGTTATATCATCTTCCAGTAATCATGGCATCAAAATACAGTGATTTAATATATTAATATAATAATGACATGTATACAGACTTTAATTGGAGACTCCACATTAACCACCAAACTCTATATGTTCTCAGTAAAGAGTCACCTGGTCAAGAGGTCA